AGGGAAGATACCAAGCAGCAAGAACAGGAAAGCACTGGCCATCACAATAGTGCATCACTCAAACTTGCTGAACGCACAGAGATTGATGGAAGAATGACTTTTCCCGCACAGAAAGACAGGGATCAGGAAGGGAATGTTTTCAACAGAAACCAGTACTCTGGGAGTATTTCAAAATCATTAACTGAGAGAAAGAGATAAAGGAGGGAAAAAAGGAGAATCTTACTCTGAAAGTTCTCCATTAAAAAGCTCATTTGCTCCTGCTTCTGACTAATCACAAACAAAAAGCATATTAATTACAGAGACTACTGCAACTGAAAGCCAAGCATGGTCTTAATTAAACTTCAAAAAATAGTAAGAGACTCATCAACAATCTAGTAGTGTAAGAAAACTGAAGCTGGGCAAATGACAATCATGCAGACCTAAAGAGAAAAAAAAAAAGAGGGACTGTTAAAATGCTGGTATTTATCTGCCCCTGGCAGATATCTCACCCCACTGCAGCTTCTTCAGCCTTTTAAAATTCACGTGACACATTTCAATTAGATTTTAATTTGTCAGCAGCCACTTAATTACATTAGAAGAAGAGTGCAGGTATGTAAAATATATGGCATATTGTAAAACTGGAAGACATCAGACAATTTCTGCTTCTGAATTATTTTTTTTTTAAATTTTTTTTTTTAAACCTTCCCAATAAATCAGTTTGCCAATACACTCTCACTCCTTTGGGATTCAGTGGCAGCAATACAAAATGCAAGATCAGCAAATTATTAAAATACTGATGTAGTAACTCAGAGCTGAGCAACTAATGAGCTGTAAAGTTCACTTCTAAAAGCAGGACACTCATACATTAAACACGTCCACAGTATTTTCACTGTTCATTATAAATATTAATTTGGAGTTGTAAGGTGAACTATGCAAAATAAAATTAAACTGCCATGGATTCTGATAACGCTGCTTTTAAGAATCAGCTTTCTTTGGAATAATGTACAGTAACTAAGGATTTAACTTTGATAACTTTAGCATTAAAATGTATTTTTGCGTCAATGAAAGATGAGCAGAAAAAGACAGATTATTTTAAATTTACCACACAAACTGAACTCCTACTCACATTGCAAAACTAATCCAAAATTACCATAAATTAAGGCTACTTTAAATAAAGGTAAAAATACAGAAAGCCATTGATCATTCACATACGCAACAATTATAACATTCCTTCAAGGAAAACAAACACCAGATCTTTACTGCAGCACAGGTTATGATGTGTTTCATTCATCACATGTTCTTCCCCTCTGATAAAGACAGACAACGTAGTTTGTAGAAATGTTGATGAGTAGAAGAAACCAACTACATATTAGATAGGTTTCTCCTGCCCACAAACTTGCCAATTCCTTGTGGTGTACTAAGTCTCGAAGCAGGAGTGAACACAACACAAAAGCCTATACTATGTAAAATAGAGAAGACATCGTCCATGCTGCAAGAATTTCCAAAATAGGTATTTAAGTGACAGTACCTATCTAAAAGCAGTAAATTATATGATCAAATGCTTATCCCACTTCTCCTGAACTTTGTCCTTTGTGCTTAGCAAAGATGGGCACGCCTGAACCTCACTGATAATTTATTGAAGGTTGTGAAGCAAAGGCTTGATAAAGGCTAGAAAAAGAGACTAGTAAGTAACACAACCAAACATTTCTTTCAAGCTGATTAGAAGCCAAAACACATTACTGAGCTCATTCAAAGAGTATAATATTTTAGAGAAAGTTATATCTGCAAACTTGTAAGACTCGGTATTTGCCCCAACATACAAAAACTGTGGAGAGGGAAACAGGTAACTTAATAAAACATACCACAGTGTGTCTCCCATGTGGAAATTTATTCATCTGCATAGTTAAATAACTCCTTTACTGAACTATATGTGAATCTCAGTAAGTTTACCTAAGACATGAACATCTGGCAACACAGAAGTGTCAATAAGAAAAACTGAAACATTAAACTGAAGAATGTATTAACCTCGCAAGCATGATCATAGAGGGCAGAAGCTAATAAAAAAAAAAAAAGGAGCAAAATAAACTTGATTATAGATACCTATAAAGTGAGTAACATGGAGAATGAAAAATTCAGATAAAATCCACTGGAAAAATGTTAAACTATTAATTACAAAGAAAACAACTTTGGATGGAAAGACTCCAACATGAAAACTACAAACCTTTGCTTTAGGCTAGGATGTTTTCTCAATTATATGGATGCTGGACTTTATTTTGACCTGTAATACCACTCCTATGTTCTAATGGCTTTCCAAAACAATCAAAACCCCACTCCCTCCTGTAACACCAAAAAAGCCTGATTTTACTGTGAATCACAAACACTTGATTCAAAATGGTGATATTAATATGCTACAGCACACAGGACATTTTAGTAGTGGCTTTAAGAATACTGGTCTCCTCCTGAATCTGATTACTACATACAAGAAAAGTTGATCTCCCTCTGACACATCTGTAAATTAAAATTCAATTGTTCTTCAATATATTGTCAGGACTGATAACAGACTCTGAAAATAACTAGTTTTAATATATTTTCCAAAATAGGGAAGATGAGTCTGTACAGAGTTAGATGCAATTAGGATATTACTGTTGATATACTACAACTCCCATCCAAGAGGAAATGCCAATTCATTGAAATAAAAAATATAAAAATAATGGTCCTTCACAAGTAGTACTTTTAAAGGTTTTCTTTCAACAAAGGCTTTTACATTTTCCGTCCAAAACAGATATTTACCTTAAAAAATTCTGTCAATCAGAAAAGATTTTTATTTTCTCCTCTTCTTAAAAAAAAACAACTTTCATAGATATTTGGTGTATTTGGTTTTTGGTATGCCAGTTGGGAGCTGTACTAGATGACCTCTAGAGGTCCCTTCCAACTGACAATTCTGTGAAATTTCTGGATTTCAAACTGTTTCAGAATGGGAATGATCTTAAGTCCTAGAATTTGCTCAAAACACAGATCTACATATTTTACTCTTCAAAACTCAAGGTAATTCCATGCTCAACTAGTTCTTAACTTAGCAAATATATTAATGAAGACCATGAAAGTGTTTACATACAATTACATCTCTCTTTTTTTTTGAGCATATTGATGTTTTTAATGCATTTTTAATGTTTTGTTTTTTAATATATTGCCCATTAATATATAGCCCAGGCTTCTTTACTTGTGCTAACTCTCAAATCAGAATTACTTTCATTGCTTGAAAGATTTATTTCTTCTAAAAGCCAAAGGAACAAGTAGAAAGGAAGCAAAATGTAAATAATTAAAAGCTAGATGTGGAAACCAAGAACTACTATTCTATAAATGCTAACTCAAATGAACTAAAGCTCTGTCAGGCACCGCTCCTCATATGCTGAATGCTCAGAGTCTCCAAGGTGGTCAAAAAGATCAATTTTCCACTTTGCAGAAACCTGGAAGCCACTATTATAAAAGGGTATCTGTGGAACAATGCTCTTCTTTTAAATGAAAAGTTGTCAGGATTACATGATCTGACTGCAAGTAACTTGCAATGAACAGGAACAGCAACCAGCAGGAAACACTGCCAGACAGCAGCAAAGGGAATTAACAGCTAGAGGCTACACACGGAGCCACAGTTTCACTGCAGCATCCATTCTGTGTCTAGCAGCCTCCGAGCTTTAAACTGCTGAAGGGCTTGCCAATCTCACTAGAAGCATATGGCTGAGAAGAATATTGGTTTTGAGCAAACAACTATCAAAAGGCTTAATTTAAGTCTCTACCTCCACTCTTTTTTGCAAAAGAAGTTTTACCAAAACTTACCTCTGGGTACTTCAGTTTTAAAGTTTTATGCATTTCTCGGAAGCGACTGTACCGCCTGAATACTGTCCATGTCTCATCCAGGACTGTTATCTGTATCAGACAATATAAAAAGAAGAAACAGAAGTAATACCACACAACACACAAGACTAAAACCTGTGCAGTATACAAGCTTATCAGATTAAAATGGACAATTCTTAGTTCCCTTAAATCCATAAGCTTTTATAGATTTACCTAATTTTTTATTTCATTATAGAAACAGGACTGCATTTAATAAGGAGCACTGATTGAAACACAAAAAATTCAGTGCATTTATTCATTAATTCCAGAGTCATTCAACAAGGATGTAAACATGTTAAAATACCCCTGCGGTTACTTGGTGCAGCTATACAGCTCTCAGCATGAAAATCAGTGGTTGTTCCATTAATGAATGAAGCAAAAGTGTAGTGTAGCCTCTCTATATATTCATAGAAATGTGTATTCTCGTATATATATACATGATTAATAAATTGCCCATTTCTTGGACACACAGAGTTCATTACCAGACAGAATGGTATTTCAATTTATAGAGTAAAAAATTATATATGCCAGCTTTCACTAGAAGATATTCCCTTAAAAGACTCTCGACCTGTGATATGAATAAGTTGTTGAGTATTTATACTGCAGGTTTCATTAAAATCAACAGAATTACTCCAGTCAATAAAGCACATAGCAACAGGAGCAAAGGGGGGGGGGCAAGCCAAACTTATCAGTTATTCACCAAAGCCTCACTGGAACTGAGAAAACAACAAAAATTTCCAAGAAAGAAAATTTTTCACTGTCTGAGATTAGACAAAATGACAAATTCTTGAGTGGGTCATAATACTATCATGACTGGAGGCTTTGATTGTCCAAGTTTTTCTGTAGCTCTGGTGCTCCAAGAGGCAATGCTGCAGGAAAAGGTGGGCATTTTTCTACATGAACTAACAGACCTGGAGAAAGCCAACTGGCACTGCCTAAATCCGAGAAGACTTGCTTCTTTAATCTAAAAGGCCCAACATGATATTACCTCTGCCTAGCTATGACTTAATGTGCAAATATAAAAAACCAAGTATTTTTATAAAACACATTTCACAAAGACACAGGCTTTTTAATGTTAAAGTAACTTTTAAAATTAACTAGTTCACTCATTATTGAGTGTATCAGAAAGTTGTGAAGGTAAAGTTGCAATGGAGCAGGATAACCAAGTAGGAGAAAAAGAAACCAAAGCAACAAAGCCAGAGGAAACCAGCGTCCAAGCACAGTTGTTGACAACTGCTACCTTGTGATGGTAACAAGCTCATCTCTGGTCTGCCTTTCCCTATCCCTGCTGCCTTTGCAGTACACAGAACAGGGAAATTAGGGGAAAGTGTCTTAAGACACGAGGAACTAGGTTTTGGGGTGGTTCTTTTCCTATTTTTACCTCTATTTTAAGTACAAAATGCAAGTAAAGAAAACTGGCCTTACAAAAACTTTAAAAAAATACTACAGCATAAGTGCTTCTAGCACATCTCCGCAATGCAAATTCATTATTTCTTATAAAATTCATTTCTTGTGTCAGCAATAGGCTTGACTGCTACCAGGAGGCCTGTACGATGGACTATAATCCCTCCATATACTGTTAACAGTTTCTCTAGCTCTACAAACGTTGAATGGATTTAACATACATAGGCAAATTTAACAAAAAAAAAAAGTGACATTTTAGGAATATACATATGAAACTGATCTCAATTAACCAATTAACAATTTTGTTCTTTAAAGAAAAGTGCTTTGTGGTTTCAGTGTTCAAGTAAATGTCTGAGGGCAATAGATAATCATAAAGATGTTATTCATTCCTGCTTTTTTTTTTTTGCTTTAATTCTGCATTTTAATAGTTCTGAGTTGTGAAATGTTGCTGTGATAAATTCATTTGTACATGATCTTTATTCAAAAGTGACCTCTTTTTTCCCCTAGGGTTTTCACAGAAGCATGCCTTTAGGGGAGCAGGTTCAGCACAAAGCATCCAGGACTCTTCAGCTGCACGGCCTGGGGGGGAGCATGTATGTCAGCTTATCATTCAGGTTGTCAGCTGTGCATCTGGCAGCTGTCTAGGTGATAAAATGGTACCAAAATTACCTAAATCAAATTGCCTGCAGCCAATTATTTATTAGCCTTCTCCTACCAAGTTTAATAACTTGTTAGAGATGGTCAGGAAAGAAAAGAGCAAAGCCATATATTCTTGCTGCCTATATTCCCTGGTGGCTCTGCTTGACCTGACTCAGGGCCTATAATCCTCTTAATTTACTTTCCTGATTCTTGTAATGAGAGTAGCAGGGAATACACTGCAAAATTTTACTGTTGTTACTGCTGGTATTATTGGAAACTTAATTTCAAACTGAACAAAGTTTCAACCAGTCCCCAAAGCTCAACAATAAGGTTATTAGGATCAATAGGAGAACTACAGTCCATCAGGCAGAGCAAGAGCATTTCCAGAACAGGGCCTTTTACTTCTGATCCAACCAGTTTGGGCTGGGATTCTTTTCTTCCATTTAAAAAAAGCTGTATGACAGACCATAAATGCTTTATACATATGGGACTGAAATATATGTAGACCTTTTAAAAAGTAGAAAGCAAAGCAAATTTGGAAAACCCTTTCCTTTTTACTTGTAATTGGCTAGTATAGTAATTAGAGTATTTTCTTAAAAAAAATAAAATATATATATATGGTTGAGTAAATCTTTAAGAAGGTTTTCAAAATACTCTTATCTGGACACTTAGGCAAATCTAGATTTGACTCAGAATTGTGACAACTGTATTAAAGCACACCATTTCCTATGTAAAACTTAGAAATTTGAAATGAGATTCTACAGTCCTTATCTTTTCTTTTGCATGATGACCGACAGAAAATAACCCAACACATATTCAACTTATTTAATTGTAAAACATGCAACAGAATTTGTTCCCCTTCTGCCCCATAGAAATAGAAATAAAACCATAGGGGAAAGAAAAAAGAAACAAATATTCCACTTGATTGTGAAGCAATCAGAAAGAACAGAACATGCTCACCTCACTTAACTGGGCTGGTTAAACAGTCTACATTGAGAAAATTTGTATTCCTATAAACAGACCTTGATGAAACTGTTCATCATCTGAAAAGCTAAAACTTGCAACATACTAAGAGATTTATGCAAACAAGTTTATTTGAATATATTTTTAAAAATAATTATTGACATTATTAAACCAAGAGAGTTAAGGAAAGATCAGGCTTCTTTTTTCTACATTAGGTAGATAACTATGTATCAATGAGCACTGCTTCTGCTTTACTTCAATTCTGCAATTGGTCACCGAGCTGAGAAAGAAATTTTTAATAGAAAGATGGACATTTTGTGCAGACCCATCACAGCATTTGGCTGAACAGAACTGTGACCAGACCTGGAGAAAAGCACTGATTTGGGGTCCATCTGCCTGGATCTTCCCCTGTAGAAAACACAAAGATGACTGAAAGGCACAAGAAACAGAAGAAAAGCAAGTTTTGAAATAATATAAAATAGGTTAAATAAAAGGAGAGAACTCAGAAAAATGAGGGAAAGCTGAATAAAATCAAGAAGGCTTATCTACAACTTTCCCTCCTGTCAGAGCATCCCCTGCAGGGCTGTGCTTGATTCCAGGCTTTGCTGCCATCACCTGCTCTCAGGAGACTCTGCATGCCTCTAAGTGAGCTGGAGTTCTCTCTTGCACGCTGCCTGGCTTCTCCTTCTGCCATCCACAGGCACTGTCTGTAGCAGATGCCGATGGCCTTACTGATGCAAAAGCTCTTTCCACATACTGCTTCTAGCACAGCCTTTTCTTAATATTCCACATATCACAATTACATGAAAGGAAGTGGAGAATGCAAGAAGCCTTCTCGTCCTCTAAGTCAGTTCCAACATAAGTATGTTTAGATCTGATTAAGCTACTACTCCTTCATCATGTTTTTAAAGACAACATTTAAAACTGTCACTCAAGTGGAAGTTTCTTTGGAAATGTCTATTCATACCGAATACTTAATAGCAGACCAGCACAAAAAGCTCCATGACATCTCTTGCTGCAAAAAGTGAAGGTGCTACCTTAACTCTAATAAAATATAGGTTTGTTTCTATTTTAAACTCTCCAATAGGTTCTCATTGGAGTCACCCAACATCTTAAGTAGGATCCATATTGAGTAGAAGAATCTGGGTCAACAGATCAATTATGCTGGCCCCTTCCCAAAAGTTACATGTCAAGATAGACAAAATGCTGAACCTGCACTAAAAGAATGTATTTTTGGATGGTATGTTAGGTTTGAAAGACTTACAAACTGAATGTGATGCTGTCAAGAAAAGTGGAAATCACACTCTCTCCTTTGTCATATAAAGGAATTAATCTTTACTTTTTCATGGCACAAAAAGAAATGTAGATATTTGTCTTGTATATAAATTTGTTATATTTGTTCCTCTATACAGCAGTATGCCAGGATTTCACTACAAATACAATTACTAGAAACATCTGCTGGAAAAAAACACTTCTGAGATACCTAGAACTTAAAGTTTTACAATTCAACTCAATCATCCCTTGTCCCTTTGTCAGATTTTAAAGTGCTGTTATGTCCACTATCCATGGTCCCAAGACCAAGAAGAACCTTGGTGAAGAAAGCTTATTTGGGAGCTGGTAAAGGAAACGAGATTAACAATGTCCCAGCCCTTCCCCAAAACTGACACATATCCTGGCAAGAGATCACCTGACAATAAACTTGAACAGTGTAAAGCATGGCTGAAATAAGGAATTATTTCAACAACTGACATTGTATCCTGATCCATCAAGAAGAAATTAAATAAAAATATTCATCTTTTCTCCTCCTTGCTCTGTCTTCCTACTTTCCTAATTTTTAAGGCAAAAAAAAAATTAAAAAGCCCCCACAATACCACATATTCTGATTTTCCATAAAAAAAAATAACAGCAGCTAAAGATTAATACAGATCAAATTAGAGCTGGGAGCTCTCCAGGGGAAAAGCTTAACATAGAGAAGTTTGTGGAAGGTCTGTAGATTGTAGCTTGGAGTCAAATCCTGACTACAGCAAAAGCAGCCCACTGTGACATAGAGGGGATCTGGAGGTAGTGGAAAAAGCATAAACAGTTGATCGATTTGTGTAAAGGAATAACCGAAACATCCCAAAGACAACCAAATTAATGTTGTTAGGAGCATCAATAAAAATATTTAGTGGTCTAAGGAAGTTGACAGCAATGGAAGACAATTATCAAAGTGATAGCCCATTTCCTACCCCATATGTTAGCCATTTCTTTGCTTTGAACTTCATAAAAGCAGCGATTTCTTTTAGAGGAAGCCTAGACATGGCATAGGAAGGAGAGAAAAGATTGTACCGGCAAGTACAACATGGCTCTTAGCCAAAGCATCCACTCATTCCATGCTATTATTGAGGATAGGCTGCAAGCCTTGCTTCTCACAGAAATAAAAGACAAGCCACAGAACTGCAGGAGCCTAGTTTCATATGTGTTTGTATAACTCCTTGATCTAACCACCTGTTCTTTCCGGTCTCCCCACTTCCCAACATTTTTCTTCTATTACATTTACTTCCAGGTAAGTCCAAGTCTTCCTGCACATATTCTTCAACTGTCCCTTCACCCTATGATCTTGCAGGGTTTTAGGGATGAAGAGAGAATACTTGGAAAAAAAAGCCTTACTTACTAAAAAGAAAGTATCTTTTACATGTATTTACCCTCACTAACCATTACCCAGTTTAGTAAATCCCATGTACTGAAAATAGTTGGTGGCTAGAACAATCTTTGGTGAAGTTTTGCATGTGCTTACTCTTCTCTCAGCATCTGTATGGCTCTGGGCTTTCACTGGCCCCAGAAAATTTGAAGGTCAAAAGGCAAAGAGAAGTATTCCATCCACAAATTGTCCAGTATGTTTTGAGATTAAAATTTAATCAGCTCAAACAGAGCTAAGATTGCCCATCTTAATAAAACTCTTTGTAAAAGAGAATATGAGCATAGCTCAAAATCAATCCTGCAGACTGCGAGGGCAGGTCACTCCTTCAACTTACACCAGCTAACGAAGCATCTGGCAGCACATTCAGCCAAGCAGGCTGCCAATTTTGTCTCTGATGCCATGTACATCAGTTACGCTACATGTCCACATGCACTGAGAGCACATTTCCAATTAGACTTCACATCTTGCTTTGAAAAAACACTGGCTTAGTACCAGAGGAAACATAATTAATATTTATTTCCCCTCCCCCCCCCCTGCAGCATTTCTGCACAGAAGATTGACTGAGGAAGCCACTGCCGCTAGAATGGGAGAGGAAGCACGTAACAGTTTGGAGAAGCAAGACCTTGGAAAAGCAGGGTGGAAAGAATCAGAACAGCAATGAGCCTGAAAGGAATCAAGCCTTTGTTGTGGATATGGGAAAAATATTCTAATTATGCTTTCATTACTACAGATAAATAATGCAACTCTAAGAGTTTTCCACAACTGACACTCGCATCTCAATAAAGGGCTTCCCTATAACCAATATGCATTTAATCCTCAACTCTGCAACACTTTCAACTGAATTATTTGATACTGAATCTGGAACTGCTCATGCCATGAGTGTGACCACCAACCTCCTGTGAACAATCAATACACTTGGAAAATACCTGTCTGTAGTATCTTGTATTCTGCATTCCTTCTCACTACTCCTCTAATTTAACAGTAGCAGGGTCACATAGACAACAGAAAGAAACAGAACCAAAAAACTGAACTTAGTGGAACAAAAGCTACATTTCATAGGGACTAATAAGATGGTTTCTGGAGAACCTGCAGATTGTCAGATACGTTTCCAGCTGCTGTTTCCATCTTTGTTAACTGTGATGCTGTCACAGTGAGCATCGACATCTGAACAGAGCAAACTAGGAATTATTTTTTAAACAAAGGGCATTTTTCTATTATTACTACTACTATGATGCTACTGTTGTACAAATGCAAGCAACATACATACAGAGACCCCAAATATTAAGGATAAACAACTGAAAAGCACTTACCTTTATTTCAAACTCATAGTGTTCATCCTTCCCCTGCCCACACAGGACATAGCGTGGAATACTAATTTTAATTGGGTCCTTTAGGTCGTCTGGATTTGCTCCCAGAGAACGACAGACCATCCGCTTTCATGTGCATACCAAATAGGGAGAACAAAGGAAAACCAAAATCACTACATAAGGAAAAAGAGAAAAGAACTTCACTAAAAATGAGAAAATGTTCTTGGCCAGAAAAGCAGGGAAAGAAAAAAAGAGAGAATGGAGAAGGAAGAAATTATTTTTAAATTGAAGGAATTTCTTGAAAACAAGTGGATCTCCTCTTGTAAGCGAGCCCTAGCATTCTGTTATGCATGAAAAAATGGAGGTGACGTAACTTTAACAGTGCTTATTCTTTGAAAATGCATTTTCAGCTTAGATGTGAAAAACAAGGGAAATCAGAAGACTCTGTATGAAGCCTCTTTGAAAAAAATATATTAATCAAGTCTCCACAGCCAGGCATAGGTTTTGTATGTCAGCCCTACACCAAAGGGGCCTACAAGAAAGCTGAGGAGGGATATTTTGCAAGGGCATGTAGTAATAGGACAAGGTGGAATGGTTTTAAGCTGAAAAAGGATAGATTTAGATTAGATATTAGGAAGAAGTTCTTGGCTGTGAGGGTGGTAAGGCACTGACACAGGCTGCCCAGAGAAATTGTGGATGCCCCCTCCCCAGAAGTGTTCAAGGCCAGGCTGGATAGGGCTTGGAGCAACCTGGTCTAGCAGAAGGTATCCCCGTCCATGGTAGGGAGTTGAAACTAGATTATCTTTAAGGTCCCTTCCAAACCAAACCATTCTGTGATTCTATCATTTATAAAACAAACCTGTTTACAGCATTATGCAGTGCTCCAGGGAATCTAAGCAATTCAGAAATCTTAGACTTTTAAATAGAAACTCATTTTTATAGTTAACTAAGATATCCATAACACAATAATCCATTGTCAGAACAATTCCTATTCTTTTATTTAAATTGCATATAATAAACAGAAAACTCAACTAGGATAAATTTGCATGGTTTGGACAAAAAGGTATAAAAGGTATTTGCAATGAGGGTACATATTTTTGCAACTGAAATACAAGCACTTTGCAGTGACGGTGTCCAAAAGTGTGTTTGTATTTAGTGATGCTATCCCTCATTTATATAGACACTGTATCCTCAACATTTCAAGCATTTTCAATCCCTTAGCTACCACAAGACATGTGGCTTGGTCAAAATTATTCAGGCTTGACCAACACTCTCCCAATACTAAAATGTAGCTCTCACTTCTGCTCACTGACACTTGGTCTCTCTGTAGCATCCCCTGGTGACATGTGATGCTATGTAGGGGAGGAAAGTTTGAAACTCATTCATAAATACCTCTCTCAATACTGCCTGTTACAGACAGCTTTTTGGCAGCCTTTTTGCCTGGCTCTTGAGAAGGGAAGGCTGTTATTTCATTACTAGTCAATTATAAATGCCAGTGTCATTTCTCCTAATGTTAGCATTAAGAGTAGTGAAAAAGAAAATACAATAAAAATGAATTTTAGTTTCAACTAACTGACTTTAGCTAGAAAAGGTTTTCCACAAGTTTCTTTTATATTAAAAAAACCAACAGTTTGTGTTTGAATTGAAAAAAAACTTTGTTTACACACAAAAAAATATTTTCCCCTCTCCATTTTGATCTTCTTTCACTGCTTCCCATGTTACTGGCCTTTCAACTAGAACTCATTTCTGGCATGTAAAAACATAAGCAATTCTTTCCCCAGGGGAAAGAGGTGTTCATTGCCTTGACAATAAGATAATCTGTTTCAAAACAAGAATAAAACCATAAAGTCACTCTTAAAGCCACCTCTGTCAACATGTAATTTATTGGCAGTCATTTTCAGAGAACTATTACAAATAGCTAATAGTCAGGGAGGAAAATAATCTCAAACAAATTGTTGTGAAAAACACGCCCTAATACATTAAATAATGTTCTCTAGTCATGAACATCGATCATTATGTTACATTTAATTTACAGTAGAATAAAAGATATTGCTGTGAAGTGCAGAATACCAATCAAGCCAAATTTGAAAACAAACACAAAAGAGGAAACTCATGTTATCTGGAACATACACCAACACATAAATTTGGGGTATAATCTGAAGAGGCATTATTTGCAGGAATGTGCTGTCATTTAGCAGCTTTGATTGACTCAGCCCTCCCAGATAGTGCCACTCAATGTTAACTTTCAACAAGGCTCAGAAGACATGCCTTGGTGATGCCAGTGAGGGAGCCACTCTTGAACTGGACTGACATGAGGTTATGCTTCAATTCATAGTTACTCCACCTTCTGTGAAGTATTTGTGTATACTCTTTTTAGAAAACAAAAACTTTACCTCAAAATTAATATGACATATTTTGCTCACCTTTGGACTTTCTTAAGGTAGCAGAAAGTTTTATTATGATTAAAAAACCCCTTGATTCTCCATCTAAACCAACATTGATCCTTCCAGACACAACTTTCTCATCCAATGCAAGTTATTTCTTTCTAAATCCCACATGAATTACATTATCCTTTCTTAACATATGGCAAGAACAAATGGGAAATGTTCTTATACTAGTAGAGAGACTGAAGTCTAACTCTGTCTAGTAGAAGATTGCACCTCTACTGGCAATATGCTTACAGAATTTAGAATTTCAGATTAGACACCACTGTTTTTTCTGCCAAGGACCATCTTCCTCAAACAAGGCAGATGGCACACTCAGGCAGCAGGATTCAAAAGGTATTAAGCTTCCTTTACAAGGGAGGAAACAAAAGACGGGAGACAACAATTTATTTATTCTTTGAACAACTGACAGGGGTACTGGTAAAGAATAACCTTGTACTCAGCTAAAAGCAAGCCTCAACTAAGGGAAATCTACTGATGTTCAATAGATCTATTATTTTTTTGAATGTAATATTAAAGAGACTGTAAGAGATGCAATCGCAAAACACCAACAACCGTATTAGTAAGCAAGCAGAAGGGGAAGTCAGGTCAGGCACATTACATGGAGAGAACCCCATGATTAAATATACTCCATCTGGCAGGCAGATCCCCAGTTGCTAACCATCCATTTAACAGCACGAGAAAACTGTACACAAACCATAAACCCCAAAATGTTTGTCCTACCACAGGTATAGTACCATGACCAAAGGTTAAAATGCTATTTACAGCAAAACCAGCACCTATTTAGACCCTTTAACCACATTTATTTTCACATCATGTTTTCCTTAAACACTCACATCAAGCGACTATGAAGACTTACTCTATATTGGATGAGTGCAAGTTAACTTGTACAATATAAATAGGAAAGACAAAGCCATGCATTGCTTCCCTGTACAAAAAGGAAGGGAGGAAGAAATCTAAAAAGAGTATTGGAAGTTCTCTGCATTTTTCTTGTTCAGTTTCATGGCTTCCACATAGCCTACATTTTCCTGGCCATAGGCAAAGGGGGACAAACCCAGGGGAAAAGAGATATGGCAAATGCATTAACTTCTGGCAACTCAGCTAACATGCTTGGAATAAACCAAACACTACTCCTTTTGCACTTGTAACAAAGTTTAATGCAGAAGCTCAATAATCCTTAATGCAAAACTCTGAAGCAGAAGCGAATTGTCAATGCTATTTTTTCCAAAATTTTAAGTATAAAAGCTGTAAACATCCTTAGTATTAAGAACATACCGTGAATGTACCATAGGAACCTAAACATGCCTTATAGTTCAGAAAAAAAGTAGTATTACAGATGTTTTGAAATACTGAGATCAAGGGTATTAAATAAATGAGAAGCATGAAAAATAAAGATACTCTGAAAGATTAAGGAAAAGGCAATCAAAGAGGAATGGAGAAGACACTAATGAAGACAGATAGCAGATGGAGGGAGCCAGAAACACAGCCAAAAAGGAAATCAGAAGGCACAGCTGTAATTATAGTTTTGATCCACCTACCACATAGGATAGAAACATTTAATTTCCTAACTTTCCCTAGTAGATGTATGTACACCACATTAGAGACTCAACAAAGTAAGCACTCAAGTAGTAATCATTTTTGTTAAGATGTCTGTACACACCCTACATTATTCCCTTACAGGCTCAAAAGACTCCTTTGCTTATCGATATTTTAAAAAATATTTATTAGCCTCTTATTTTGAACATATATAAATGTATTTGGATTTCAACACCTAGTCAGATGCATAATTAGCCAAATGGCTTCTTTACTTGAACTGAATGTTAATTTCCAGATTTCTGGAGGGATATGCAAACTGCTTTGAAGAACTGATGGGATGACTGTCAGTTCAGTATTTGTTTCTTCTTCACAGTATTCAGAAAAACCAATTCCTGAATCAGATCCAAGCTTCCTTCTTCTAGAAAACACAAGCTCAATTTTTGTGAAATTATCCTTGTCTGGCAAAACTACACATCGGATATCATTCAAACTGTACAACTGAAGGCCGTCAAATTGTGATTGCTGGCATGAAGCATCTGAAAAGTTAGGTGCAGGATAAATTATATTTTCCCTTAAGAGACCTATATGAGTAGCTGAAAGAACAAGAGCTCTATGCACAGTCTGCTTAGCACACTCTGCTTTCACTGAGGTATACAGCAGTACACGAACGTCACCTAATGAAGGTTTAATACTTCCCATATTTTCATGGAGTAAGTACACCAAATCAGCTAATTCAGTTCTAAATTTACAGGACAATCGTACTCCATTTGAAAACACTAAGTCATTAACTTCTGATGTCCAGTCAAGTGAAAGCTGCATCAAATCATCTTTCAAGAGCTGGTGATTTAAATAAACAGCATCATCCATGCTAGGAATCAAAATGCTCAATATGTCATGGCAAATTCTTTGAGTGAAGCTTTTGTTATAGGTAAATACTGTGAGTAAACCATCTTCAGTGGAACACAGAAGACTAATACTCTGTCCAGCAAAGCCAACTTGAATCTCCTTTATCGTGACAATGGGAACCTCATGAAACATTGCCAAGGAACTCTGGCAGATGTCTTGTTGAACTGATGAAACAACATACAGTACAGAGCTGAACAAAAGCAAGCAAGCAGGTTCTGGATCAGGTGTTCTGGAATTGCCAACAGCGAGCCAATATATACCTTTCAACTCCGCCATTCTAACACAAATTTGAGGAAAAGAACAGGTAAAAAAATCCAGCACTTTTTCCAGAGAACAGACCTGAAGCTTCAAAAAGACATCAGGAAAATGCACAAATTTCTGTCTCAACACAAGGCTGTTTTCCAGCTCTTCATTTTTACAACAGCAAGCAAATCCTTCAGAGGGTTTTCTCACACAGCCATCGGAGATTCCTGCGCTTACAGACATTGCAAAAGCTTCTTTTACAGGGGATTCAGGCTGAATGACATTTTCAGTACGAGTGTTGGTGTCATCAGTAGAGTGGGACATGTCTTGATTCATATCTGGCTTGAAGAATATATTTACCCGCAAGTTTTTTACAAACGGCAGATTTTTAAGTAGTGATACTGCTTGTGTGTATGTCTCACTTCTGTCACACAAACTTCCCAACTCCTTAATTTGTTTAGAAACCATTGTACTGTTGAGCAGCTGGCTACTGGCACCTTTGTAAAGGCAGGAAAGCTTACTGAAAAGATATCCCAAACCATAGGTGTGCCCAGGACTCACATTAAAATGAGAAACTATTGACTTAAAAGAAATCAAATCAGTGGCTTTTTGTGTTGGAAGTGGCGAATTACTAGACTGGTCTTCAATTGGTGTTTGCTCCATCTTAAATGGGCTGTTTTCTTTAGAAGTTATGATCTCAGAATGCACATTAGACTGAGAAAAGAGAAGGCATGATATGCTGTTAAAGCCAGCCTGCTCATTAGCACCCATTAAGGATCCTACAGGAGACAGCCGTTTCAAGTGGGAACAATCAGATTCAGTTCTTGAGCTGTCACAATTCGGAGAAGTAATTATTTTATCGACAAAATGATTGAAATTTTCACCCTTGCAGTGTGAGTAAGCCACATTATTTAAGTTATGACTTTGTAAAGTAGATAAAACATTCTGATACAGAGCATTCTTACTCTTTAAAGTATTAAGATTTTGAGAGTGAATTGAACTACTTTCAATGTCACAACGATAAGCAAAGCTCTCCTGTTCTGAATTACGCCTTTCATTCTCAAACGCCTTCTCTGATGTAAAAGGGCAGGAGATTCTTCCAGAAGTGGAAAATAAATCCCACATCTCTGTGTATTCCTTCTGTCTCTTATGGTCTCTTATTTCTGTGTTTTCTCCACACAACTCAGAAGCACAATTGCCATCTTTAGACATAAATGGAAAGCCATAATGTGGCTGCCACTGCTCACTTTTCTGTTAAAAATTTCAAAAGAAGAAAAGAAACATCTTTATAAAACCTGCTAAATTGAACTTTTCTTAAATTGATGATTGATTTTGATTAGGTTTGTACAAAATCATTCAGGATTGATACGATCATTGTATCAATCTCTCAAAATTGGAGAGAAAAAAAATCCAACAAAAGTGATTGAGGTCTGATTCAGGAATGGTTGATCTTCCCAGCCCCCCATTGCTTTTCCTTTGTACAGTATCCATTTCACTTGGTGTACATTTGCTTTACTCAAAAACTGAAGGAAAGTTGGTGATGCACAAATTTATAAGCTGCAGATGATGAATTTATAAGCCCTTTATTATTTTTAACACATGCACACACAAAAACCCTATACTATCCAAGATAGAGTGAAAAGTCCAACACAGTTTAAAAGCAATAGTGCTAAAGTCCAAAAAAGTCCAAATTAGAGATGTTGCAGTCTTCCTACTATTAAGGTTTAAATCCATAAAGGTATTCGGGATTTACTCACCAAGACAAGCAATGAATTCAAGCAAGCTAGGCCACCAAATACAGTGGGGAGGGGTGTAAGCCTCAGTTTAAAAATACATGCATGAAACCTTCATGACACATACAAATTTGCCCAATGCTGCTTGCTGATATCAGACATCCAGTAGTGAGTTCAGTAGTGAGCCAAAAACATGAAGTGGGATTCTGAATTCAGACAACCTCTCCTCTTTAAATGTTTTTATCCTCTAGAAATCAGGAAAGGGATACTGTTCCAAATCAAGAATCATGACAAAACAAGGAAGAAAAATCCACAAATACCACCATGTCCTTTAAATAAGGAAAAAGCTACACCCAATCTGAAAAAAAAAAATCACTTTAATTCCACCTGGCAAAATACATTGCTGGCTCTATTAGCCATTAATCTTGCTGTGAATTCAAAATTCTAATTATGCAGCTAAACATTAAGAAATTTAATTACAGGGCATGCCATAATTTAAGACAACCATTTCATTCTGACAAATTATGACCTACCTCATACTTCAGCTTGCGCTGAATAGTGCCATTATTAAGCCTCTCATTATCCTAAGAACAAAAAAGGTACAGGTGGTTATTAAGAGTTCCTTTCTTGTGTACGTTCATTTAAAAGTAATTATAGGAAGATATGTTATTTTTAAAAGCAAAAAAAAAAGCTATTTTCTTATTGATATTTATTAAACCACTGGCTCAGAAGTTAATCAACCCAGTCTCTGGATTAATTAGGTCACTAATTTTTAAATGAGCGTTTGTTTGCAAGTACTAACAATTACTTTTTTCTGAATGGAATTTTATCAATGTATTTTACAGACATAAAAATAAGACTTCATTTTATCTGCAACCTTCCTATTGTCATTACTGAACAACGAAACTAAATCAGTGGTTATATATGGTGCACTGAAGGTCATGATTTCCTACCAATCTCCACTCACCTTTAAACTTTCTGTAGACCAGGACAGGCTAGCATCATTATCCTCAGCTTTATGATGAATATTCTGCAGCCTTCTCTGCACTTCTTGTTCAATAAAGGCATTTATCCTTCAAGATATAGAAAATTTAAAAGAAAGCGTACTCTTAGATAAAAATCAGGACAGGCTAAAGAGCTCGTTAAAACACTTATGAACCCTAAATAGAGCAGAACTCTTAACTGGAAGACTTAATGTTAGGCCAGTTTTATCTCTACTTAAGAACCACAGACTTTGGAGCAAGTGTTTATTTAACAGGCAAAGGTTAACAATTAGTTATCACAATTAGACAATTTAATGGACCACAGGTTAAGCCACTGCTATGTGTCCAGCTCTACAGACGAATGACATGAAGGGTAAGAGAGATGCATCTTTAGTTACTTATTGGTTTGCTTTTATCACTTCTGTAATATTGGCAACTAAGGCTAACAAACGTTTGGTCTTCAAACAGAAGGAATGTTCCAAGAGTTGATACTAACAACTGCCTGTATAAATGTAAAAAGAACAGAGAGGAAATCGATTTAAAGTGAGACCAGACAGCTGCCCTGTTAAAAAATGCTTAAGACATTCTCATTTACTTTGTTGCTTTAAGTGCTTATAAAGCAATACCACATAGACTAGTAATTGTAAACACACACACAAAACCAAAACACATTTAAGCCTACAGTTTCACAAAACTCTATTCTGAAACAAATTGCACAGGAGCAACAGATCAGCACTGTTGGTTATTTAAAGTAAAATACAGCAAATTAATTTTATTTCCAGGCTAGACTTGCAGTACAATTACAGTATTTAATTACAATCCAACCCTGGCAGAATGATCTTTCAAAACACATATTTTCTAAAGCTATTGCTTGCATTCACATCAAAATATTGCAAAAATACAGGCTACCTACCTATCATCAACTAGTGGAGCAGCAGGCAGCTGTGGCTTTGTTGAGATGGTAGGGGAAGTGGTATGGGAGAGCCTCTCTTCTAAAGTTCCATTATTTCCTTTCTGACCACCATCACCCTCATATATTTCTTGCTTCAGCTGTTGAATTTCCTGGTCCAGGCTATAAAGAGATGACTTTGTTTGAGAGTTGATTCTCATTGTTCTTATTGGAAATACTGTACTTACACTGGGACGCATGTATGTAAGACTGCACATACTAATATTTACGAAGTTATAAAAATAATAATTGTTATTTAAGCATACTTATATAGGAAATTAGAGATCACATATATATATGAAAACATATTACTACAGCAGTATTAAGTTAAATAAAACAATTTCTGTAACTTCGAATGCAAAAGCTATCTAACTTAGCACATTAAATATTAATTCATAAGTCTTAACCTATCTATTAGGATCACTTGAATTAACTTTCCTCATTAGAGAGCTCTACCAATGACCTCAGTTATTAGCTTCCAGTGTGAAATAAATGAATAAATGGGGGTAGGGAGAACTAAAATCTCAAAATACAGTACTAATCCAAAAAAAAAA